GTAATATTTTTCAGCGAGTTTTTCCTAAACATTTGTTAATGTTGTAATTTATTACCGCAGTGTGTGGAGAGTTTGCTTTTCACTGCGATAACCACAATTCCTCGTTGTTTGCGTCACAGGCTGTGATGTACAGGAGAAAAAATATATAGTATTTATCCTAAATGTTTGGTTTAAGTATAATTTGTTAAATGTTTGATGCAGGGCCGGTTCTAGACATTAGGAGGCCCTAGGCAAAATTCATGTTGGAGGCCCCCCACCCCCAATAAAAAGCACTTGAAACAAATATGATTCCTAACCTTTTTATTTATACAACATTTAATTTTAAATTTTGTATATTTTTACTTGTACAGTACAAAAATTTGGAAACATTATTTTAAATGTTTTTGAAAGACGTCTCGTGGTCATCAAGCCTGTCTGATCAAAAATACAGAAAAAAAACAACAATAATATTGTGAAATATTATTACAATTTAAAATAATGTTTTTCTATTTTACTATATTTCTGTAATGCAAAACTGAATTTTCATCAGCCGTTACTGCAGTCTTCAGTGTCACATGATCCTACATAAATCATTCGATGCTGATTTATTATCAGTGTTAGAAACAGTGCTTAATGTTTATTTTATAACCTGTCATATTTGTTCAAGATTTTTTGATTATTAAAAAGGTTTAAAAATACAAATATAGATCTTTTATAACAAACTTAAAGTCTTTACTATCACTTTTTATCTAACACATTCTTGCTGAATATTACTGTTTTTTTCTGTATTTTTGATCAAATAAATACAGGCTTGATAATAATAAAACATGTCTTTCTTTTATGTTCTTTTAAAAACATTAAAAATAGTAACGGGTCGAAACTTTCAACCTGTACTGTATGTACATATTAATCAAGCTTTATCTAAGGTAATCTCTTTTTTTTGTTTGATGAAGATGTTATTGTTGTTATTATTTTGCTGTTTTATTTCATTTAATCACAGTTCCAGAATACCACTTCAGTAAGTGCTTTTATCATTTATTTCCTAGCTGGGTATGCAGGATTTCCCCGTCCCATTTAATCAATATTGACTACAGATATTGTCATATTATTAATTACAATAATATGATATTATGTATTGCATTGTTACCTTAAATATGACATATAGGGCCTATATATACACAAATCAAGTGGAACAGAAAGACACGATGGATACTAAGCAGAAAAAAGTTTAGTTAGTTGAAACTGAAATTATAAGTGTTATGTTAGAGCAGTAATCCTAATCATCAGCCCAATTTAGAATATAGGCTACACCTGATATCCTTTATTTGAACCATTAAAAAGTGTTTTAGTGTGTTTGTATTAAAAAGCAAACTTCTCTGCTTTTATTTTTTGTAGCTATGTTGCTAGTCAGCTCCCAACGCGATGTCATTCATTGTACGCGCAAATTCAAAGCGTCGCGTCTGGGCTCGTAATAAAAAAACAAGTAATAACTCGTAATAAAGCAGTGAATGATCTTTCCAGAAATAACACTGATCGACAGAACAAGTTTATATTTAGAATACATTGCAATCACTCCAAAATAGATGACAACTACTCACACACCTGCATTAGGAGCTGGACTTCTTTGCGTGCCTATTTAGCCGTTTGCATCGCACAGTTCGCAGCACCTGAAGGATGCGTTCGTTACGCAAACATTCAGAAGGTGGGACCCGCTTTGAAACTGCAACATTAATTGGTTTAATTGCAGATGAGTGACAATTCAACTACATCCAATGAACAATGAGGCTAGTATTTCTGCCCGTCTTGACTGGTGGTCTAGCACAGTGGTTCCCAACCCTGGTCCTGGAGGCACCCCAACACTGCACGTTTTGCATGTCTCCTTAATCAAACACACCTGATTCAGGTCACCATCTCATTAGTAGAGACTCCAAGACCTGAAACTGGAGCGCCAGAAAAAGGAGAAATGCAAAATGTGCAGTGTGGGGGTGCCTCAAGGACCAGGGTTGGGAACCACTGGTCTAACATATAGGAGATGCTACGGTGATGGAGGTTCCTCCTCAAAGCTTAGGCCATCGCCTGCTCTGCCTATAGCTAGCGCCGGCCCTGGTTTGATGTTGTAGATGTGTTAACCGACATAAAGTTAAAGGTTTGACGTTGGAAGTCCGATATTCGCAAATTTAGGGACCGTCTCTAAAGTTACATACGACAGTGGTTTACAGTACACGGTTCTAACTTCAATAGCATTTGAAGAGAAGTCATAAAACCAACTGTAAAGTGTTCATCTAGGTGTCAGCAATAGCCTAATGCACACCTTTTAGATTTTTTAGATTTATAGAAATAAACAATCTGTAAAATTGCTATTTGCACTATTGTAAATGGGCTCATACACAAAATATGCCATAATTTAAAGCTCAATAACATTTGAATAGAATAATTTACAGTTATAAGACCAACTGTAAAGTGTTCATCTAGGTGTCAGCTATAATGCACACCTTTTAGATTTTTGATATTTATTCAAATAAACTCAAATCATCTGTAAAATTGCTATTTTCACTACTGTAAATGGGCTCATGCACAAAATATGTCATAATTTAAAGCTCAATAGCATTCGAAGAGAATAATTTAGTCATAAAGCCAACTGTAAAGTTTTCATCTAGGTGCCAGCTATCATGCACACCTTATAGATTTTTTATGTTTGTTCAAATATACTGTCAAATAATATGAAAATATCGCTTTGTATTTCACTACTAAAGAACGACTCTGACAGTCTGGCTTACTGAGTAACTGACCTGCTGGACTCCATGACAACGTACACAGTAACCTACACGAACACCACAGCAGTGGAGTTATTTCCATTACTGACTGTTTAAGGCATTACATAATTCGAGGTATGTATATGGACCTATATTTATTAGTGCAAGAATATGTAATGCATACTGTATATGGTGTTTAAATGAATTATAGCGTCATGGTCTGCATAAACTCTATCTTTCTTATAGCTTTTTTTCAACAAGTGCTGCATACAAAACTTTAGAAAATGCCCCCAGAAGGGAAATCTGACATGGAGCGGATTGGCATCTTTAAAGAGATGGGATACATCTCAATAGGGGACAAATATACACCTTTTATTTACCGTAAGTGTAACCAAGATTAAACTTTAATATGAACTGCAGTGGCTGGTGCAGTGCTGAGTTTGTTGCGTAGAGCGCGCCAGCAAATCATACCATGGTAACCTAGGTCAAAACATAATTTTCACCACAGAAAAATCGCGAATGAACACGATATTTCCTGAAAATAGTGCAGCTTTCATAAACTTAATCATTTCTATTTATTTATCAATGACACTTCTAGCCAAAGTAATAGTTTTAGCCGCATAGTCTATTGTAACAATCGTAGGTTCGCCCGTTTTTGGAGAGTTGTTGCTACTTGTCACACTTTTACAACAGCGAATATTTCTCGTGACAGTTTCTGTAAAGGCACACTAAAAGTCTTGGCTAAAGGGGTTATATGATGCGATGTCATGTTTTCCTTTGTCTTTGGAGTGTTAAAGGCTGTTCGTGCATACAGAAGATCCGTAAATTAGCAAAGATTACAGTCTCAAACCCAAAGAGATATTCTTTATAAAAGTGAACCCTCAGCCACGCCTTCCTAAAATGCCTCGTTCAAACACGCCCCCACATATCTACGTCACTGTGTGGGAAGATTTGCATAACACTGCCCAAATGTTCACCAAAGAAAGAAGGCTTAACTTTTATTATTGCTGTAGTATTGTTGCCGCTGCCGCCGTCGTGGAGACGCTGTTTGTGGCGAAAGCTACTTTGTTTGGCCTTCCAAAAGAGGACACAACTAGAAATCAGTGGTTTAAGGGTTAGTTCACCCAAAAATGAAAATTAGGCTGCGTTTTACTCACCCCTGAGGCATCCCGGGGGGGGGTGAACAAAGGCCTTCTATAGTGAATCGCTGCGTTTTTGTAAGAAAAATAGCCATATTCAAAATGTAATAATCACTTTAATGTAGCTTGCGCCAACAGTTGTACACCGAAGCAGTTCCGGGGGAATGACGTATGAGGTCAGCGCTGCGCATGCGCCGGTGAGTCTCGTGAAAAACAACGTTTGTTTACAGGATCAAAGGAAGCAAAGTTTCCTTACTTTAGCAAAGGAAAACCAGTCTCCTCTTGGCTTATATCGAAATCCTCTGACATTCTTCTTTACAAATCGGATTCGTCTGAAAGAAGAAAGTCATATACACCTAGGATGCCTCGGGGGTGAGTAAAACGCAGCCTAATTTTCATTTTTGGGTGAACTAACCCTTTAAGTTTTATTTACAACACTGTTCCAGAACAGTACAACCCAAATATTCCAGTGTGTGCAGCGCATTTTACTGAGAAAAGTTTCCTGACCCTGGTAAGGGTCGTAACATTTCTGTCACACGCTTGAGGAATTTGGCCAATCACAACGCACTAGATAGCTGGCCAATCAGAGCACACCTCGCTATTCAGATTTATGAGCTTTGTAAAAATGTTTCAGAAAGGCGGAGCATAGAGAAGCAACAAAAATGTACAGTATGTGGAAAATAATGTGTTTTTTTAACCTTAAACCGCGTAAACACATTGCATTACACCAAATACACAAAATAATGTTCTTTTTTAGCAACGTAATATAACCCCTTTAATAACTTGTCCTAAACTGAAATGTTATGAAACACTGATATAAAACCTTCATTGTGTTGGCTTAGCTGACTGTCAGAATGTATGTCAGTGTGGTTATCTTGTGTTTACCTAATAGCCTTTAAAAAATATATAATGTTTGCAACCAACATAGGTTACTAAATCTCTGCTAGAGACAATAAGCACTTGTGTGACTGGATAAACATGTACAGTACAATATGCAAACAGGATAATGTGACAACTATTCTATAATATAGAAAATAAAAAAGTTAATAATTTTGCAAAACTTTTAATGCCTGTCTAATGCTCTTTGTTTGTCACGGAAAGGCCCATTTAATGACTCCGCATACAAGAACAAACAGATGCTATCAGGAGGAGTTCAATCAAAGAGCGCGCTCCCGGCGGGATACTTCGACACACAGTTTAAGAGGATCTTTGAGAGAGAGGCGCTCACAGACCCTGTCAAAATAGAAAGACAGTACAGGATACAACGGGCCAAAAAGAACATAGGCAAAGCCTTTCTTCCCAGTAATGGAGAGAAAAAAACGTGAGTCCTTCTTTCTTTCTGTGGCACACGACTGTATATTCATTTCTCTTTTTAAAAAATACATTTCTTTTATATATTTTTTATAGTTTTAAATAAATAAATGTGGAAATATAAGAAGAAATTAGTAGCAGATGGAGTAGTATTGCTGTCATTGTTGTTGATGTTCTTAAAGGTATAGTCCATGCAAAAAAAAAAATCATCCTTTATACACCCTCATTTTATTTTAAACCTGTATGACTTACTTTCTTCTACAGAAAAAAAAAAAACATGTTGGTAACCAAATAGCTATGTTGACCATTGACTTCCATTATATGGGGGGGGGGACGACACCCAGACATTTCTCAAAATATCTTGTTCAACAGAAGAAACAAATTCATACAGTTTTGAATGACATAAGGGTGAGTAAATAATGATAGATTGTTCATTTATAAGGTGTTTAAAAGCTTTATTGACCGGTGTACTTTTGCAAAGATTATCCAGAGATATATTCAGTCTTTACACCAAGGAGAACAAAGTTGCACCTGAGATGTATTTGGTTCAAGGATATTTCATTAGTGTGAGAGGTAGGCATTGGTTGGCATGGTCTATGAAAATCTGAAGACATGAAAAAGACCCCAGAACCTAGATTTTTTTTGAGAAAGGAATACGCTTTGTGATTTTTAATGATGTTTGTTGACCTGAAAACACACTGAAAAAATTTTTTCATTCATCCAATTAAAAAAATAAATAACTTGCCCCAAGGGCAAGAAATAAAACCAGAAAAATACCAGAAATAAAACTGCCATGCAGATTAGAGCTTTTCCAATTATTCCTGAAACTGTCTTTACAGTTGCTTAATAGTTTTCTCTGATTGGTAGATGTGGAGTGGGCAGCCATTATGGGACATTTGGAGGCCACATTCAAGCAATGAGTGCCCTACAGAATCCAAGGAAACCAAACAAATCACCTGGAAAAAACTTCTACACCAATCCACCCAAGAAAGGAAGTGGTTACAGGCAAGCAAATTACATTATCCTTTAATATGCAAGTTTCTGTGGTTTTTCTGTCAGACGTATTGATTTGTCCTTGCACTCTAATAGCTATCCTGACGTCACCCTCTCCAAGATGGTGTCCCATTCCTCAGACCCCTATGACAGAGCCAAGGAAATGCTAAAGGTATTTTTAGGTCTACATAAATGAGATTTTTAATCAGACTCCCGGGTCCTTGTTTTAATCAAGATAAGGCGTCCTCTGAGTACCTGACAGTATAATTCTATGCAAGCAGATGACTGTGTTCTCTTTCTCTAATGAGAGAGATAATTTGTTTACCAGCGTGAGATCATGGCACACAAATCCATGCTAAAAGGGGGAGCGTTTCGTTTGAACCTTCATCCAGTTGAATGCTTTAACAGCAATCCTTACAAATTTGACAAACCTCTACAACCTCCAAAGAAGACAGAGGAGAAAAAGCACATTACGGTGCCCTTCAAACCAAGTTCGCCAAGTAAAAAGGTAAGTAAAGGAGATCAAACACAGTGTAAAAATGTTCAAGAAGTGCATATGGAAAGAGCTGTATTAAGTTTCCATCTTGGAACATTTTGTGGCATATTTATTTTATTATTTTTTCTTGTGCAGACTGGAGGCATGAAAGCAGGAACATTTGACTCCTACCCCACCTACTCTGCAGAACCCTACGGTACCAAAAAGACCAAATCAGCAATGACAAATAAGGAAGTAAAAATATTTCACCCCTCCCCTGGTCCAAAGAGCACACCTGTCAAGAGCATCATCAGTCTCAACGTCAAAAAGTAACTAGCACCAAGACACTCATATTACACTCCAATCAGTGCTTAATGCTTTGCACAATAATCAGTCATATCAGTTGCTGAATAAGTTCCACAGGGAAAGACACTACAGGCTCACAGTAATGTAACTTTCTTTATTTTACAGGGCTGTGAATTCCACAAACTATAATCGAATCCCCTCTGTGATGGCATATTGAGAACTTGTGATGTCTTCAGGTGAATAAATGAATGTTATATATTGGTCTTTAGATTAAAAAGCTGCAATTTTGAATTGAATTTATATAATTCTCTTAATTGATAAAGATTAACTCTTTTAAGAGATCTTATACTTAATACTACCCCAGGGGAAAAAAACACTTTTGTCTAAAACCACAAGTTATTAAGCATTAAAAATACATATTGTGTGTTTCACCAGCAAGGTGTTGGCCAATTCAGCAAACTCTTAAAGTTCACAAGTTTTTGCAGCATTTATGTCATTCTTTTTTTTTTTCTTTTTGAATATGGTTAAAACCTTTCATCTTATGTGTAAAAAATTGTTTTAAAAAAAACACACACACACACACACACACACATCAAACAGTTTGTGTGTATTACAAAATACTTATAGAATACTTAATAGATTATGGCATATTTGAACCTGTATTAAAAGCAAAATTCCCCTTCTTTCATATTTTGAGAATAACTGAAACCTAAAGGGATTAGTTTGTGTCTAAATTTAGGATTTGCTCTGCACAGAAGGCTAATATGTGAGAAATGAGAGAGTTGACTAACAGCTTTTCAACAAGAACTAGATTAAGGCCTTAAGAAAGAGCTTCAATCCCTTTTACACCTGGCATTAACATCCGTTTTTTGTGATCAGATCACAAGTTTTCAGTGCTCAAAGTGCTTTGTGGGTTCTAAAACGTTTTGAAATTGTATCAGTGAACCATACAGGGGTAGTCAGAAACATTGCATTTAAATCAATCCATCCTGAATGCAACCTGAACCACAGTGAACGAAGCAATGCCTAATGCATGTTAATACCAGGTGTAAACAGTAATGTGGTAATGATTCAATCACTAAAAATGTGTTAATGCCAGGTGTATACGGCTTTAAATTGGCCTTGTATTTCCCTTTATAAACAAAAATGAAGAAATGAATAACGGAATATCAAGAAGCAATAATCGCAAACAATACCAGTTGTCTAATTTCAACTGTCCGTCCCTCTAAGCAGTAGGATATACAGTAACTAGATCATGTCCCTCAGGTGGGGTCATTCGCATTCGAGCATGGGCTTCACAGTACATCTGTCCCTCCACGAAAAAGTAGCCCTTCTGCTTCAAGTTCAAGCCACAGTCTGAGCACACAAAACAGCCTGGATGGCGGTACTTGTCCCGAGCTTTCACCACCGGTCCACTGTGAGCCAATTGTAGAAAAACTTTGATTTAATGAAGTTGTTAAAATGCATGAACACTATTCGGTGTAGAACAATTTTCATGAAAATTGGTACTATATTCTCAAAGAAGACACAATCTGTATGGTCTCATGCTGAATGCTGTACTCACACAATGCCAGTGCCACATTTATCACAGAGAGGCAGCTTCTGCAGTGAGGATGTGGTGGCTTGGGGCTTTGTCACTGGGGCTTTTACACTTCTAGTCACCATAGGCCTCGTGCCTGTCAGAGGAATAAAGAGTCTCAGATCCACTTATGAAATATGAAATATGCAATATGAAATGCTCTCTCATACTGAATCCAAACTATTAAGAGAACAGCGGGCCCTGACTGACGTCATTAGCAGGATTGTTGAGGATAGTGAGGGCAGCTAAAGTCAAATAGAGCCTGCAAAACTATTACTCCTCAAGTGCACTTGTAGTTCACCAGAAAACTTGCTGACATTTAAACTGACATCTTCATCAGTGCAGCAAGCTGTAATTTCTGTCTTATGAAGTCGAATTGCCCCAAATAACAGATAAAGGCAGCTCACCATCACTCTCCACAAAGTCTTGCAGGGCCTTAAACGATCCAGACTGACGTGGTTCATGTGGCTGCTCTTGGTTCTCCTGGAGCATACGGTACACATGAGAGTCTTCAATAGACGTCAGGGGTTTAGGGCTGAAAACAGATAAAGGCAGAGGCCCGGAATGTTTGTCCATTAAGAAAAAAGTATCATTTTGTGTTATTTAAAAGTTTGGCAGTGCTCAAGAAGACACATTATGATATTAGATGCTGGTTAAGTAAACTGTTTAAAAAAAAATATTTTGTGTTTTCTGGCTTTACATGGTCACAACAGGTTTTACATTTACATTTACATTTAGTCATTTAGCAGATGCTTTTATGTTTTTATAAAAAAAAAATATATATATAGATAAAGTAGAATTAAAATAGAATAGAAAGTGCTAGAGTTAGAGGGTCAAATAAAGGTGGAACAGATGTGTTTTTAGTCGTTTCTTGAAGATGGTTAAGGACTCAGCTGCTGATTTGGGCAGGTCATTCTACCAGGAGGGAACAGTTAATGTAAAAGTCCGTGAAAGTGATTTTGTGCCTCTTTGAGATGGCACAATAATACGCCGTTCACTTGCAGAACGCAAGCTTCTAGAGGGCACATAACTCTGAAGTAACGAATTTAGGTAAATGGGTGCAGAGCCAGTGGTGGTTTTGTAGGCAAACAATTCTAGTTTTTAATCTAATTTAATTCTAGTTTTGAAACTAGTCTGATATAAACCTATGTTTGTCTTGTGTGCATTTATTTATTTTTACATTAATGTATTACCCGTTTTTACATGAAACATTATTAAATGTGTGCCTTGCCCCATAGCCTTTCATTGTAAATAAAGTAAACAAACTTTTTTGTCGTATTTATTTCGGTTTCATAGCATATTGACCAGAAACCTATATTCCCTACATAGAAGTTTCATTACTTATATTTAATTACTGTAATTTCAATGTTTTTTCCAGGCCTAGCCTACAGTCTTGAAAATAAAGGTTCCAAAAAGGGGATTTTCACAGTGATGCCACTGAAAGAACAATTTTGGGTTCCCAAAGAGCATTCAGTGAACAGTTTGTAAAAAGATCCTCTTTTTTTCTTAGTGTGAAGAACATTTTAAAAATCTAAAGAACCTTTTTTCCACTATAAAGAACCTTCTGTCCAATGGAAAGTTTGGATGTCTGGATCTGGAACCACAGATGCCATTAAAGAACATTTATTTTTAAGAGTGCGCATTTGCAATATTTCCTTTTTTTCCCCCAAAGTATTTTGAGGTTTTCCATCTTTAGGAACCCCATTTCTTGAATCTATCAGGTCCTTACTCGGCTATGCTTACTGTATTAGCACAAGCTAGTAGGTTTGTAAGGTGGTGTAAAGCCAAAGCTAGTAGGTTTGTAAGGTGGTGTAAAGCCAAAGCTAGTAGGTTTGTAAGGTGGTGTAAAGCCAGCGTGATGGAAACAAAGCTCTGGTTACCTGGGCAAGGCCTGCCTGACTACAGTGGACATCTGAGCCTGCTGCAGTGTATTTGAGACATTGTCTGCTGAGTATAATGCTATAATGTAGGGTGCTTTTGTCTAATGACCTCTTTTGGCTTGCAGATGTGAAGGGCTTTGGTCTGACATTAAACTTGTGTTCAAAGTAATCAATGTCCTGTAAGGGGTTGCCCTTTCTTATCTCTAACAGAACCCAATCAACTTCTTTCTATCATAATGTTCTATCCAAATGCCTAGGCTGCAGGAAGACTTGTGAGGACTTCTGGAGGATCAGAGTGTGTGTTAGTGGTAAGTGGGCAGCCGGTCTACAGCAAGCAGAGAGAAGTATCTTAGTCCATATGGTTGGGGTGATCCATGTTGGCACTCACCCCTCAGGCTTTTCATGCACCAGACCCTGGATCTGTCCTTGCAGGGCATCCTGGATGTTATCTTGAGAGTAGAGGCCTATGGGAGTGTTGTAGGTGGAGCTCACCACCTGCGTTTTGTCATCCAGACTGGCGGCAGCCACAAAGGGCTGTGCTCTTCTGTTATGACCTGTGCCAATAGGTTTACACTCCTGCGTGTGTAGGACAGATGGACACACTACATACTCAAAGCCCCACACAAGCACCACATTTGCATACCACATTCTGCAGATATGTCCTTTTGTTACCTGAAGATGCTGCATACACTTTAACTCATTTCAACTTTTCTGAACTATCATTTTGTTTTTCAAGCTGTCACATTCTTTTTCTTTCTTTCTTTATTACAACACTTGCTCACCAACGGATCCTCAGCAGAGTATAATCCACACGACTCCAGTCAATTAACATTTTTAACTTCAAACCATTTCTTTCAAGCTAAAATGCAAGTCCTCTTTCCATAATATTGGTTCCAGTGGGGGAAAAAATGTCTGAATCAGGAGAGAAATGTGTGTCTCTCTTATATTTCTTACAAACAGGCACTTGTATCAGGTGGATTACTTGTGAATTATGTTTTTTTATCAGCTGTTTGAACTCTCGTTCTGACGGCACCCATTCACTGCAGAGGATTCAGTGGTTTAAGCAAATTCCCATTTCTTAGTGAACTTTTCCTTTAAGGCGTATTGTGTTGGACAAGGATAGATCAAACAAAAATTAACAGCTTTGCACAATTTATGAAGGGCTACTCCACCCAAAAATCCTCTCATCATTTACAAACAACAATTTTTAGAAAAATAATCCATCTCTGTGAGTCCATATAATGCAAGGATGGGATGATGCTTTAAAAAGCTCTCAAAACAAACACAATGGTAATCCATATGACCCCGGTTGATGAATCAATATTTTACAAAGCGATACGATAGGTGAGAAAAATATTTTACAATTTTTAAAATATAAATCATCCCTTCCAGCCGGCTGTCAAGCGCAGGTTCATGAGTTCATGCATGGTGCAAACATCAGCTTGTTGTGAAGCATGAAGTGTATTGTGAAACTCACAAGAAGTGATGCATGACGGTCACTTCTCGCATGAGTTTCATTGATATTAATATTAGTATTCTATTGTTGATGTATGGCCGTATTAAAGTAGTATTAGTATTGATTTTTTTCACACACACCTATCGTTTCGTTAAAAATTGATTCATCAATTGGGGTCATATGGATCACCTTTGGGTTCATTTTGAGTGCTTTTTAAAGTGTTATCCCATCCATCCATCCATTATTATGGATTATTAAAAAAAAAAAAAAAAAGAAATTGTTCGTGTTCCACGGAAGAAAGAAATGAGACTGCATGAGGATGAATAAATGATGAGAGGATTTTTATTTTGGGGTGAAAGTATCCCTTTAATATGCCTCATGAACTTATGTTTCTAAAAAAATAAAAAATTTAAATAATAATATACATTTTCTTGCTGCATATTAAAAGCAGATAAAAAATACAGAGCTGTGCATTTGTTTTTCTCTTCCGTTACACTTACTTGCTTCTCTGCCTCCAAATTGATTTTGAATGGGTTCACTTTCCCTTCTTCTATAACCTGAGGTGACCACATTTTAGTTTCTGGCCTGCAACACATTTAATGCACACAGTTAGACACGACGTACTCGCCTCCTGTGAAATCATAAAAAAGATCAAAGAGCAATAAGGGGGGTCATTACTGTGCACCAGGGCCATGACTGCTTCTAGATAGTAAAGTAACGTCAACAGACTGGCATGTACAAGCCAGATGGTTTATGGAAGGGTATTAATCACTGAGGAAAGACACATTCATCGTTGTTGTAAATAAGGCTCTGTGGGTACTGATGGACACTTTCATAGCAAGGGGTAAAGGCAAATTCTTACAGTGCTCTCTCTGGCTGTAACTTTAAAGAGAACATGATATAAAGTTGTTGAAAGACGCTTAACCCTGTTTGTAACACTATCCTTTAATGAGAAAAGCTCATGGTACCTCTCTATCTTGAGGAAAAGCTGATTGGTGGAGTCTTTGATCTTGTTCTGAGCTTCAGCATGAGTCATACCCTCAGTGGACGCTCCCTGGATAGCCAGGATGATGTCTCCTGGACACAGGTTGACCCGAGATGCCTTACTGCCTGGTGTCACCTGAAAACAAGAACCAGACTTGATGCTCATCTTTTGTCACGTCTATTAATTTATTCAAAAATACATTAAAAATGCCATGCACAATGACTATAATGAACATGTTTTTCATTTCGGTATTAAAAATAAGTGTTTTTCTATATGCGTAGTAACTGAAATAAAGCTGAAATAGAATATAAATATTTAAAAATGGAAAAATCTAAACTTTGAAATGTTGCCTTGACAACTAACTGAAATAAGTTTAAGCTGAAGTAATAAATTACTTAAACTAAACGAGTAAAGATTAATTAAAATGAAATAGAAATGACAAAACCATGAACTGAAAATATAAAATAAAAGCTAATTCAAAAAATAAATAATTCAAAAAAATGTAAATAAATAACACAATACTTTTTACCTTAATTTTTGTCTGTACATTCACATGTATAAGTATAATGTTTTTTTTTCTCTTTTCTTTTTTTTTAACTTGATGGTTTACTACATGATTTTACAGTCTTGAAGCTTTTTTCAAAAGTAGTATAAAAGTTTTCAAAACCATAAGAAGCCACCATAAATACAAAGAAAACCTTTCTTGGACTTTAGTTTTAAATATGTGAAAATGCTTACAGGCTGTTCACCTAGAAAGCATTTTTGAATTTTACTGTGTTGCTTTTCCATTGTGTTTCTATGTGAATATGCATTAGACAGATATCTGTCTTTTTCAGAATCTTGCTCATGAAGCGCTGCTTTCCAAAACCACAGCACTCATGTAAAAAAAAAGGTGTTAAATTCCACTGCCCTGCATCTTGTGTTTTTGAAACACAAATAAGCATTCTATGTGAATGGCCCTTATATTACCAATGACATTCAATCTAAATGGGAGTGGTTTTGCATCATGTCTGCTCGGGGCAAGAAAGCCCAAAGTTGCTAAAATAGGACTCATTGTGATCTAAGTCACTCCGGACAAAAGTTCTGAATAGTTACCTGCTTAATATGCTTCAGGTTCTTTATAGAAGAAACAAAGATTTGAATTAAAAAAATCAGATTCTTAGGAGCCTTCTTTCAAAGTAACTACAACTTTGCAGCAAACTATGGAGCAGTTTAGACATAAACAGAAAGTGACAGGGGTAGAAACAATCTGTTGACCCACTGTGGTTTAGAAGTGGACTAAAAATAGCGCGTCGTGGATGTGCCAGTCAAGACTGGGTATATATAGCCCGCCAGGGGAGCAGAGTCAGGCCTATTGGCGGTTGATGATCTGACTGCTCTGGCATTCAGCCTGCCGCCCGGTGTTTCTCTGCCCTCTCTTTCCATCATCCTCTCTTTCATTAATGGAGTCTGACATCATCCCTTATTCTTCTCATCACTGCCGGGCTCATTTTCTTAGGTATTCTCTTCATCCCCCTAGTCATTTATCTCATCACCTCATCCTGTGTGCAGGCCTCGTTCTACCTGTGTCCTGACTCTGAGCTGCTCTATTACTGTATATCCCAACACCACTGACCTTCTCCTAGTTAAGTCCGCCTCTCAAGAGAGGAAGATTTATAGCAGGTCTAGTCATGCCAGTTATTTAAGACCAGAGGGTTTTAGTTTTCCATCATCAGTGTTTAATGTCATTACGATTTGTGTTGTTTTATTCCTAACGCATAATTTATTGACTGATGAAGCTAGCAGCTCTGTTTCCTGTCAAATAACAGTCGCGCTGTAATATCTCATTTCCTGCTGCCTTTCTCACTTTGTGTACACAACAAAATCACCTTTGTCCACCCGTATCTTCTAGAGTGAATACATCTCAAAATACATGTTTAATGACTTCATATAAGAGACACTGATCCCTGGCTATATTTAATTCAACAAATGAAAACTAGGCCTTATTTCCCCTGTAGACATCCATTATGGGGGCGTCTGTAGAAATCGAGGGTTACTGCAAAGAAATAAGCATCTAAATGTCTCTGAATGGACACAATAAAAATGAGATTGTTCCCTTGACACTAATCAAGCAAACACACGAGGGATGTGTTTGGCTCACGCTCTGTTTAATAGATGGAAAGAAAAGGAGCTATGAACTGAGATGAAACCATCGAGTGACTGGTATCCAAGCGTCAGTATAAACCGAAACATGAATATAACAATTCGGGTTTTGTAAGTTATATGCAGCACCTGTGCAGAAAAATCCCCCCAAGTGACACACAAACCCACAAGAGAAGCATGTAAGGGCATGCTGAACATTAGACATTATGTGCGGAGCAACATCAGGCAGAATAAATCAAGGGATAGTTCACCTAAAAGTTCAAATTTATTTGTCCTCATGTTGTTCCAGACCTGCGTGATTTTCTTTCTTTGGTGAAAAAAAAAAAAACATGATATTCTGAATAATGTTTTAACTGTTTTGTCCAAATAATGAAAATCAACTGGGACCAAAACAACATCAGACCTCATTGACTTTTATTGTACACTCTTAAAAATAAAGGTTCTTTATTGGCATCTACGGTTCCATGAAGAACCTTTAACATCCATGGAACCTTTCAATGCACAAAACATTGTGGAAAAAGTTTTTTTAGATTACTAAAATAGTTCTTCACGCTAAGAAAAAAAATGGAACAGATAAAAAGAACTGTAAACTGAAAGGTTTTGTGGGGAACCAAAAATAGTTTTTCCATGACATCACTGCTTTGAACCTTTATTTTTAAAGAAGATATTTTTCAAAGTATCTTCTTTTGTGTTCCATACATGAAAGAAAATCATATGGGTTTGGAACAACGTAAGGTAAGTAAATTTAAATTGTTAGGTATTCTGCTAACATAAGGGTGAGTAGACCTACACAAACACCAACATGAGGACGAGTGAATGACAGAATTTTAATTTTTGGGTGAAGTGGCTAAAGCTCAAGGTTGACGCTCAACCGTAAACTATCCCCCCATCATGCCCTTGAGCAAAGCACTAAACCCAGGTTGGTCCAGAGGGACTGTCCCTGAAATTAATGATTTGTTAAAGGAATCTGCTCAGTGACTGGATTTAGATATATTACAGTCATTTACATTTTTAATTCAACAGTATAATTCAGAAGGTCTGATTTTGCTTCTCATAAAAAGCCCCATCTGTGCTGGCATGCCCGCATCGATGGAGCCTAATGTTACTGGAATAAGAACATCAGGGCTCATAGTATGAGGAAAGACCACCTTGCTGGCATCAATACGTGTATGATTACAAACAGCGGTTTTACAAAGAAACCACACACATTCTGCATTAGTCATCAGTATTTCTCTGCTTAAAGACGTGATGTACAGTGGGTATAGAAAAGAATCACCCCCCTTTAAAATAATCACATTTTGTTGCTTTGCAGCCTGAAATGAAGACGGACACAGTTTTTGTTTTATCCAGCTGTATTTACTCAGTGCAATTTATAACTTTTCTCTACCCACTGTATTTAGCTTTCAGGTTCTGGCACAAGCATACACCAAAATAAGAAACATGCTCATTCTAATCCATTTAATTTATGTTTGAGTGGATTTGATTTTTTTTGTTTGAAATCAAACCCAGTGTCATTTTTACTTGGATACTGCAAGGAAGTCATTAGCTAGGAATGTTAAATAAACCTGATTGGTTTAATTTAAGCTTTTCAGCTGAGACTTCAAGTCTACGTTGTACACCTAGAAGTTTCTATTTCCCTAATGTGGCCAAAACCAGTGCTGCACCAGAAAAATATACCTTTTAGACATGTTTATTGGTTATACCACAGTATTCTTTGAAGAATCTTGAAGTATCATTGTATATGAATAAGGTAATCATTAAAATACTATTATACCATCTGATACCAGTAAATCACTGTACTGTGGCACCACAATTTTTCCTGTTAGGGCAATTCATATTTTGTAAGACCTGCTGTTCTGCTTCTAATCAGGGAGTATGGGAAGTATCATTTTTACGACGACCTGTCTGTTCTCTGCTGCGTTTTTTCCACAATTTATGGCGAATGTCAGAACCGGCTTTTCACTACGAATATACTTGAATGTCACGATCAAAGAGCTGCTGTTGATGACTGAGCTACTAATATCGCTACATTCCACCCATCAGAATGCTGCACTTCCTAGAGCTGTTCAGACACAGAAGTCAATATGTAGCTGTTTTGTAGGTACATTATTACATAGCTTTCAGTCAAACTCCATAAAAGAGTTCTTAGGAAAGATACAGAATTATTTAGAGGAGGCTGTTTGCAGTGTCTTTCTGTATAAGGGAAATTCGTAGTTTAGTCAGATGGAGCCTTAGGACCCTCTTAGCCTTCACCAAAATACACAAACTTTGCAGTTGCTGAGCATAAATCTAGCATGCCATTGTACCTTCCTCTTATTCAGTTCAAAATAACTTTATCTATGAAATGGGGCACTTTCACCACCATCTATAAGGAAGGATTAGTCCATTTTAGACATTTATGAACAATATGAGTGGATATGAGGCTTGAGATGAGGCTGAAATAATTGCTTAAATTAAAGAGATTGTCCAGTTCATCTCACATATCACCAAATGCTCACTTAACCTTTGACCTCTTCTGTTACCACAAGTGTTCAGACTCCATCAGCTGTTTAAAATACTATTGGACTAAGAGCTTTGCGATTCATTCAGACAACAGGTGTAGAGATCCTCTCCGGAGCCAGGCGTTAGACTAGACTCTCTCTCTGTGTGTGTGTGTGTGTGTGTGTGTGTGTGTGTGTGTGAGAGAGTGTCTGTCCCTGACTTTTTGTGAGCATGTTAGTAACTGGAAGAGAAAATGCCTAACAGTTCACATAATATACACTTTTGGTTACAGCCGTAATACATAGCCACATTTATGACTGAGATGAGCTGTGAATAATCTGTGTTTTCAAATTCAAAAACACCATGATGCCATGGGAGGTAGTATGCTATTTTTATTATGAAATCTGTAAAGTTTGGCTAATTAATTACAGCGTTAGACATCTGGAGAGACTAATACAGGAGACTGAAATTATGATATTCAAATCATATACACTATTCAAAAGTTTGAGGTTGGTAAGATGTTTTGAAGATGTTTTTGAAAGAAGTCTCTTATGCTCACCAAAAAGGCTACATTTGAAAAATACAGTAAAAGCAGTAATATTGTGAAATATTATTACAATATGAAACCGTTTTCTGTTGTCTATTTCAGAATATTTTTAAAATGCAAATTTTTCCTGTGATGGTAAATCTACATTTTCAGCATCATTGCTCCAGTCTTCAGTGTCACGTGATCCTTCAGAAATCATTCTAATATGCTGATTTGATGCTCAAGAAATATTTCTTTTTATTATCAATACTAAAAAGAGTCGTGCTGCCTAATATTTCTATGGAAAACATCTTAAAGTTCAAAAGAACAGCATTTATTTGAATAAAACAATTGTAACATTTTAAATGTCTTTTACTTTTGATAAATATAATGCATCCTTGGTGAATACAAGTATTAATTTCTTAAAATGCAATAATAGAGTAAATCACAATGACATGAAGATAAAAACTGGGTAATTATATCTAACATAGAAAGTCTCTATTGGGAAATGATTCCCTGACAACCACAGATGTTTCTAAAAATGAATGTCAGTTTGAATTTGTGGCTCTAAAAAAAATATTTATCTGAAATCTTTCTCTATGCACTCCTCAGTTACATCTAAAGTGAGGTCCTGGGAATGTTGTTTTATGATCCACCCCTCTGGTTTCTCATGCCCACGGCAGTGTTACCCAGCACATCAAAAGCATCATTATCTCTGAGTGGAATGTGTGAAGCAGCAGACTTTAGCCAAAGGCATTCACTTACCCGAGTTATGGTCAGCGGCTGGTTAAAATCTTTGCCTCCTGAAAGCCGAAATCCCCAAGGGGCTGACCCGTCCAGCACCACGTTCTGTGGCATATCTGTCTTGTTTTCTTTAGCCTCCTCTTTCTCAAAGTTGAACTTGCTTCCTCAGTTCAGTCTCTTTTTTATTGGGGAGAGATCTGCAGTAAGAAAAGAATAATCAGCTCTCACTTCTACCCTGGACGAATGGCTCACCCATCGACGATTGGAAGTCAGTGCCTGTCTCTGAGTCCCTTTTAAGCATGCGTGTGGGGTTAGTAGAGTGAATGAAAGAAAGATGATGCCTGGATGCCACACCTCTCTGAGGTCATAGGGTTGACTGAGAAACTGAGGGTTCAAACTCTCTACCCACGTCCTTCAGATCCAAACCTTACACCCTTTATGATTAATCCTCTTTTCCCATAAGTCTTAGCGGTTTGATAACTAAAATCCAGTGGTGTATAAAGTATCTGAAATCCATACTCAAGTAAAAGTAGTTTACTTTGGAAGAAGTTGAAGTCACCGTTTAGAATATTACTTGAGTAAAAGTCTTAAAGTATGTGTAATGTTTTTTTTTTTTTTACATAAAACGTTGAATGCTGATATTTGAAATTATTTAAAACATGACGAAATGTGAAATTAAAACCGCCAATAGGAGACAGCAAGTGACTGTTAATGAGTGAGTCATTGAGATTCAACCGATTCATTCAAATGACTGATTCATTCAGAAACAAAGCATTTGACTGTGTTAATGAGTGAATCACTGAATCATTTTTATCAATCGATTCGTTCAAAAAGCTGATTCATTCAATAAGTAAACACCATCCATTGCTCAGAGATGCAGAACAGTGCTGTGGTCTTTGTTTGGAACTATTTTCGTTAGCAAAATTGAGCAAAAACAAGCAATATGTCTAAAATGTAAGTCACTTATTGCTTTACTGAACTTGTATAAAATTGTTTTTAACAAAACGTACTGATATTTGAAATTATTTAAAACATGACGAAATGTGAAATTAAAACCACCAGTAGGTGGCAGCAAGTGAGTGTTAATGAGTGAGTCATTGAGATTCAACTGATTCATTCAAATGACTGATTCATTCAGGAACAAAGCATTTGACTGTGTTAATGAGTGAATCACTGAATCATTTATTCAACCGATTCCTTCAAAAAGCTGATTCATTCAATAAGTAAACACCGTCCATTGCTCAGAGACGCAAAACAGTGCTGTGATCATATAGCCTACTTGATAATGTCAGATCGCACATCATTACAACAACACTTATCATATTATCGCAGACTGTATCGCACACCCCAGACTCGACTTGAATGGAAAATGATTCATCTGCGGTTGTGCGCGCATTTGTTTGCGCATGAGTCTAACTTGCAGACGGCAGACCACTGATTCGTCAAACTTGCTTTCCTGCAGTCCGTGTTCTTCTGACTTCTGACGTACATTTGAATTAGTAAATGTTGTGGAGTAAAAGTAAAAGTTGGCTGAAATATAAAAACTCAAGTAAAGTACAGATACTCCCAAAATATACTTAAGTACTGTAACGAAGTATTATTACTTCGTTACATTACACCACTGCTAAAATCATCCACCAGTGACTCCCTTTGCTCTGTCATCACCCTGTCTGCTGTCTAGACTTTTCTTTCCTATCCTCCGACCAGACACCTGTGCCTGACTGAGAGGAGTAGACTACTCCATCATGAAGTTGTGAGTCAGAGCCTTTGCTGCTGATGAGCAGATTACGAACTATTTACAGAGCACAATAACAGAACGATATCATGTCATATTTTCATATCAACACAGCATGTGTTGCTCTTTAAAACCTCTCGGGAATGTAAACCATTTCAGTAACACAGCCACATAAGGGAGCACTGAAAACTGCTTGGATTTCATTTCATTAAAAAAAAAAAGTTAATTTATCTAGCCTACTGTGTAGATGTCACAGAGTTACATTACACATAAAGTGGCTTCAAAAAACAGTTTGGACACATAAACCACGCTTTAAAGGGATAGTTCACCCAAAAATTAAAATTCTGTCATTAATTACTCACCCTCATGTCATTCAAAATAAGGTCTTCGTTCTTCTTCGGAACACAAATTAAGATATTTTTGATGAAATCCTATGCTCTCTGACCCTCCGTAGACAGCAAGCGTCCTACCACGGTCAAGGCACAGAAATGTAGTAAGAACGTCGTTAAAATTGTCAATGTGACATCAGTGGTTCAACCGTAATTTTACAAAGCTACGAGAATACTTTTGGTGTGCAAAGAAAACAAAAATAACGACTTTATTTTTCTCCCCTGAGTTACCATCTACCGTCATTATTGATAGTGCATTGTGTTACTCTCGATAATGGTGGTAGATAGTAACTCAGGAGAGAATAATTGTTGAATAAAGTTGTTATTTCTGTTTTGGTTTTTTTTGCACACAAAAAGTATTATCATAGCTTCATAAAATCGCGGTTGAACCACTGATGTCACATGCACTATTTTGTCGATGTTCTTGGTACCTTTCTGGGCCTTGAACGTGGTAGGACCCTTGCTGTCTATGGAGGGTCAGAGAGCTCTCGGATTTCATCAAAAATATCTTAATTTGTGTTACGAAGATGAACGAAGGTCTTACGGGTTTGGAACGACATAAGGATGAGTAATTAATGAAATTGTAATTTTTGGGTGAACTATCCCTTTAAAATGTACGAATGTCATTGCATTAGAAGATAAAACATCAAACCAACCTTTTCTCCAAACTAACTTCACTTTTCTGAGCCAATTTTTTTTTTTTTTTTGCAATGACTGTTATACCAGTTATGTCAGGTGATTTTTTTTTAGCGCATATAAAGTCAGTTCTCCTCAAGTTTACACCACAGGTGCAGTTCATCACATTAACTATCCAATGACATCTGACAGAACAAACGTTTGTTAGAGATGGCTCACACAAAACGCGTTTTTGCGTTCCATGTGGTTTTTAATCATATTTTTAGGGGGGACAACCCTCAGATAGGCCCCGGGATTTCCGCCTATGCCTGCATGTGATACTTGTTTCCAAAGAAAAGTTTCAGAGAGGAGCGTACTGTACTCTACATGGCTCTGCAGCACTGTGCTCTTTATTTGAAAGCCAAACATTCTAGCTTGACAGCACTTGTATTGTAGGCTTGAACAGCTCGTTTGGTGTGCCAGGGATGGGCTGTTTGTCATGGCCTGAGCTACATCAAACATAGGAAACCTTAACACCAGAAAATCTTTCTCTATCCCAAGCTGTCACATCATGTACCCCCTCTAGTAATGAAAGGTCGTCCAAAAATGTAAATTCTGTCATTTACTCACCCTCATGTTCCAAAAGTCAAGGGGGTTGGAACAACATGATGATTTTGGGCAAACTGTGCCTTTAACTTTGAGCAGATTGGCATGGATGTTAACTGGGGTTTGCTGCTCTATTCCCAGATATATTTATCAAGTGCTTAAAAGAGCGTGTGAGAATTTGCTCCATTAAAAACAAATGCGGAAAATCACAGAGTCTAGGGGCGTAGGCAGCGGACGGGCCTGACGGGCACAGGCCCGCCCACTCTGATGAAAGAGTTTATTATACAAATATAATATTATTGTTTAATCTATTTGAACACAATTAGAGAACTATTATAACATCTCAAATAACTAAAATAAATGTGTTTTTGCATAATTCTTGATTGTTATCCAGGCTGTTTCAGGCATGTCGCGCATTTAAATTCGTGCGTGTTCACCCATTCAGTTGGACTGTAATTTGCAGATGTGTTAGAAAATGTTAGAAAAACAGCAGCAATGCATAATTCTGTAAAAAAAAAAAATTAAAAAAAAAGGACTTTTAAAAACTTGCACTGACCAGGGAGAGAGCCCGTCCATCAATCCGCAATTAACGGTAAGACTTTCAGTTCCATGCGCGAACCGGTTCATTCTGTGAAGCCGGGAAATACTGTCAGGCCGATTATGAATGTCATTTGAGCTCAGTCAGTGTTTTCAGTCGGTGTTCAAAGTCGTTTGGTGTGCGGTGTCTAAAGAATTTAAGACCAGCTGTTGCCAGTCGTCCTCACAAAGATTTTTTTAAATAAATTTTGTGACTGCCGGCGATTAACTGAACCTGTTTCCTAATTTGTAGGCCTATTAATTAAAATAACGAATTAACAAATAAAAAAAAAATCACAAACATGACTTTTCTGAATAAAATAATTTTATAGCCTACACTTTAGTTATATCTAATTTGGCATTTTCAGTTAACATAGGCCTGTTACATTCTTCTTATTAGCCTATTAGGCCTATTATTATTAAGTTACTTTTATTATTAAATTCATGATTACAAATAGCCTAATTTGCCCCGCAATAATTTCATAGCGCATCACCGCATAACTGACGCGCTGCGGGGATAATAAAGATTAGGCTATCTTATTCCTCATTGAAATTGTTTTTAAAAAGGTCTTTCAAAACAGGTTTAATATACAATGAATTATAGGCCTATAATTAAAATGATTGACACTGCAATCATCAATGAAAAAGCTTTATTTCAAGCTTCCGACCAACTGTTTAACACGAAATACGTTTCTTATTTATGTATTTTTTTCCCACTAGCCTATGTTCGGGCCACAAGAGAAATATTAAGGGAGTAGGCCTACATTAAAACATTTAGCTATATACCGTTATCAGCATATGAAGGAGATTCGTTTCTCGTCGTCTCTGAGAGAATATGCGCCGTTAATGCAGTGTCAGATGCCGAAAGCGCCGTCAGTTTTTACTTTCACTTTCTAGTGAATTGACTGAGATTAAGATTCACCGCATAACTCTTGCCCAAAGTTTGCAGGTTGATTGTGTGATATCCATTGGCTCGCCTTCCTGGTTTAAAACAAATATTTACAATATTGCAACGTATCCAGCTCCCCAACCCACCAACACTTGAGTTCGCTGTTGGGGGCCACATGTGCGCTACGCCACTGGACCCCGTCCGTTAGTTAGCCTAGTGCCCGCTCACTTTTGCCCAGGCCCGCCCAAAAATAAAATTCTGGCTATGCCACTGGTCTAGACGGAACCCCTGCCTCTTGGATGGCTTTGGTTCTTTCTCTGGGACAGAAACTCAGACCGGCTCTCCACTGTCCCTCTGTTTACTGTGTCGCCATGGCAGCAGGAGGGACAACTCCAGGACATGATATGGCTGTTTATAGACTGGACGGTCTGCAGGGACTAGATTGCTAGCAGAAGGATGACATCCAGGATGGCACGATTATCCTATGCCCTTACGGAGACAATGTGACTCCCATTGAGAACATAGTCTGATGAAAACATTAGAAGTGATAGAATTTATTTATGCACTATTCCACAGAGAAAGAAAGGACAAAGACTTTAAAATCAATGATTGCTTTGACTTTTTGGAGAGTCTAATCAGACCCTTTTTGTTTATTAATCAATGGGTGGACATGTTGATATAAGCAGCAGCAATGGTTTAGGACTTGTCATTCCTTTATATAATTCAGTGACGTTATATTCTTTCTATTCTTAACCAATGATATTAGAGCAATTCAGTTTTTATCCAATCAGGATCCATCAACACTCTGGCACCAAACATAATGTTCAGTCAACAATCAGGTTTAATTTACTGAACATATCACAGTGTTCTGTACTTTATAAACATTTGTTCCTGAATCGTGCATTATTAAATATAACAAATATCCATGTCATTACATAAATTACATGTGGTAAAGCTATGCACCAGGAACAGCACAGTTTACTTCAGATTCACTTCTGATCAGCTAGTGCTTAAGAACGGAAGACTGTCTGCCAACTCTTAACTAAACCACAATGAAGATCTCTGGTAGTCTTGATGGTTCGCAGATCCAGATTAAGTCCAGTACCACCATATGCATCTCTTAAACCAGAGCAGCATGTTGTTAATATGTTCTCATACTGGTACAATATTACATTTGCACTGATGAGCAGTTCTTTATGAAACAGCATGCGCAGGATGTTACTGGTACATTAAGCAAATTGACAGACACAAAGACTGCATAAATCCATTAGGTATAATATTGCCTAAATTACATATATTATTGGTTCATGTTTCTACTGACTGACACATTTACATTTCTTGCTTTACTGACTGGAATAAAACTGTTAGTCATAGTCTCACAGGAAAATTGAAACGCTGCATATTTTAAATTGAACATTTGAATACGAGTGTAATCACTGTGCCGAACAGATCAAAGACATAGAAAGTGAGCAATTAACAATATATTAAGTATATCATAATGAAAAACGTTTGCTGAATGATCAAATAAACAAAAATAGATTTGTACGTACATTTCCTCACTCAAATTGAACCAATCGGAAGGCAACATATACAAAATACATGGCTGCCAATAGCAGATTAGTAATTATGACATCATGTGCTCCTCATTTTTGGCCATAAATAGATTACAGTGTGTAAACCAAAAGTGATGTGCAAGGACACAGAAATATTTATTATAGGCAGTTGAGACATTAATATGAGTCCGTTTACTACAGTTAATATGGCCATTTTGCCAAAATGCTTTTTGTTAGGGATATTGCAATCTCAAAAACGTTATCTCTTTAGATTGAAAAATATCAAAAATATTTTTCTCTTATCTGTAAAATCCTTCAAATGTTCAAAGGAATGTCTGGAGGAAAAACATAGTGCCTTAGAAAACCGGAGGTCATTCTTCTGAACCAGAAAGTTAATAACATACTGAAAAGATACGTGTTGGCAGGAATGGTCATCTGTAATATCCACTGCCTGACACAAACATGACACTGCAATACTGTTCAGTCTATACAATCTAGATCAGATCAGACATCCCGTCCAGTGTACAAGAGGCACCAGTAGATCATTCCTCACCTACTGTATTTCATCCTTCCAATGAAAGAAAATGTGCCTCTTAATAAAGTACAAATAAATAGGGCACTTGATTACTCGTTATGTTGAAATTCATCAGCTTAAGTGACGTGACATGTGACATGTGGCCAAGTATGGTGACCCATACTCGGAATTAGTGCTCTGCATTTACCCATCCAAGTGCACACACACAGCAGTGAACACACACCCGGAGCAATGGGCAGCCATTTTATGCTGCGGCGCCCGGGGAGCAGTTGGGGGTTCGGTGCCTTGCTCAGGGGCACCTCAGTCGTGGTATTGAAGGTGGGAGAGAGTGCTGTACATTCACTCCCCCCACCTACATTCCCTGCCGGTACGAGACTCGAACCCACAACCTTTGGGTTATGAGTCCGACTCTCTAACCATTAGGCCACAACTTCCCCTTCCCTTAACGAGAAGGCAAGCAAACTGATTTCTTTCAACTATGAGGAAAAATGTAGGCAACCAAATGTTTTAAAGCATTTACTGAAATTCCTAATTAATGTAATGCTTTCAGAATTTAATTATCAGCATATTTGAACCAAATGACATAAACAGTGTAATAATAACACCTCGAAGGCCATTGGCCTTTCATCAGTTTCATCACTTTCCACAGGTTGATGACTGGAACATGTCATGCTAATTCCAGCAGGTAGCTGTAGGTGACATTGTTCAGCTCTCCTCAGTAGATGTAGGACCATCAGAGATGTGTACTTGAAAAGTCCACTTATAGCCGATTCGCATAGTTCCCAGGAAAGGTTCCAAAAAACTTTGTTCTCCTGGATGTTCCTAAAATATTAAATATGGAATGAGGCCAACTTTGTATGGTAAAAAATATCATATAGTATATATGGTAAAGTATATATTTTTGTACAAATCCATCAATATATTTATCTCTCCAAACATCCATGGGCTGTTTGAACCATGACAGTGTTGACAGAATTTTGTTTGGTTGGAGAATAGCACCAGCTAGTGGCAAATAAATGAACATCACTAAAACACTCCTTGTGTAGTAACCAGCAACCTGATGAAAATGGAGTTTACAGTCTTACCCACAAACCATCCATCATCACACTTCTCCATGACGTCAACAACATCACCCTCTTTCAGTTCCAGCTCATCTTCATTTCGTGGCATGTAGTTATACAGGGCTTGGAATCTGCGAGAGGAAAGGCTCTTTAAGTGTGCTTTCTATATTAGGTTATATTACAGAATTGGGTCTTGTAATACTGACCAATTCCCACAATGGAATAATGTTAGCATAAAACAATAATCTTTAAGACTTGAAATACTTACGGTTCCCCTGCACCTTGAAGCGGATCATGAACATATGCTTGTCTTTGGAACTGAAAAGAGAGAAAACAGGAAAGGCCATTTAAACATTTCCATCTCTCTTTCTGCTGTATGTCCGTCTGATACTGAGAGTTCCACTGTGCTCGTGGAGAACCACTGATGCAAAGCCTGAGGCCAGACCTGGATCAGCTGTGTATCTGAACTATTTACATGATCAGACCTGCCTAAATGTGTTTCAAAACTGATTTTAAAAAAGGAATTGCACTTTTTTTTCAAATACGTGTGAGATCCAGGACCACCGGAGCTCAAGTTATGGGTTTCTAAGCCATCAAACAACACATTTTCTAAAACATATCTGATTGGTGGACTTAGAAACAGTCGGGAAATGCCTTAAATCCTGAAAACAAGGACTGTACTCCACTTGTTTGGAAGGAAATGTGGGGTATAGGCCGCTTGCCTGGCCCTGGGGGAGTACACCTTGTTTAAGCTGTGTACACAGGAAAGATCATTGGGACAGTCCCATGAGTAATCCAGACACTCCAAACACTCATTATGCATTGCTTAAACCAATACTGCATGAACAAGCCAATCTTCTCAGCTGCTTTGAGCCCCCCCCCCAAAAAAAACAAAGACTACAGAAATCCACTATTTCTGATCTAGGAAGTCATGGACATGCAGGAAAATCACTTCCAGCATGCAGATCAAACAAAATGTTATCACTCTACAGTGATGTTAGGAATTAAATGTTATTTTCTCAACCACAAAATGCTCACAGACAGACAAGGCCATGGTGTTAAGAGTATCCCTTATTCACTGACTCAGCATTCCTCCATACTTTACTGATGGAATGATATTGCGTACGGAAGCATCACGTGACCATACGCTGACACAAATATATGCCAGTATAGTATCATTCCTAATATCATTATATCCAGCTATAGCAGCAAAAATGGAAAGAACTGCACTCAAAACAGTGAATTCCCAGGTCAAATATAGTGAATGACATTATGCTTTGTGCAGGGATACATTGAAAAGAGAGAAAACTGAATTTCCCTTGAGTCAGCTGTGCCATTTCCACACAAGGTGCACATACTCCCTACCCTATGAGATGGCGAAAAGTTTTGACCTCTAACAGGCGAGCCGCAGGACCTCCTAGACATCACAGGGCTACGAGGGGGCTTACCAACAACCACAACATCACGCCTTAACACAGACTGAAAGAACCAGAGCCGAGAGAAGCTGACATGAATGTTATGTGCAGTCATATATAAAAACATTTTACAAAAGTATACACTACCATTCAAAAGTTTGGAGTCAGTATGTTATTTTTTTTTTAAGAAATTAATACTTTTATTCAGCAAGGATGCATTAAATTGATCAAAAGTGACATAAAACACTCCTTGTGTAGTAACCAGCAACCTGATGAAAATGGAGTTTACAGTCTTACCCACAAACCATCCATCATCACACTTCTCCATGACGTCAACAACATCACCCTCTTTCAGTTCCAGCTCATCTTCATTTCGTGGCATGTAGTTATACAGGGCTTGGAATCTGCGAGAGGAAAGGCTCTTTAAGTGTGCTTTCTATATTAGGTTATATTACAGAATTGGGTCTTGTAATACTGACCAATTCCCACAATGGAATAATGTTAGCATAAAACAATAATCTTTAAGACTTGAAATACTTACGGTTCCCCTGCACCTTGAAGCGGATCATGAACATATGCTTGTCTTTGGGACTGAAAAGAGAGAAAACAGGAAAGGCCATTTAAATGTTTCCATCTCTCATTCTGCTGTATGTCCATCTGATACTGAGAGTTCAACTGTGCTCGTGACGAACCATTGATGCAAAGCCTGAGGCCAGACCTGGATCAGCTGTGTATCTGAACTATTTACATGATCAGACCTGCCTAAATGTGTTTCAAAACTGATTTTAAAAAAGGAATTGCACTTTTTTTTCAAATACGTGTGAGATCCAGGACCACCGGAGCTCAAGTTATGGGTTTCTAAGCCATCAAACAACACATTTTCTAAAACATATCTGATTGGTGGACTTAGAAACAGTCGGGAAATGCCTTAAATCCTGAAAACAAGGACTGTACTCCACTTGTTTGGAAGGAAATGTGGGGTATAGGCCGCTTGCCTGGCCCTGGGGGAGTACACCTTGTTTAAGCTGTGTACACAGGAAAGATCATTGGGACAGTCCCATGAGTAATCCAGACACTCCAAACACTCATTATGCATTGCTTAAACCAATACTGCATGAACAAGCCAATCTTCTCAGCTGCTTTGAGCCCCCCCCCCAAAAAAAACAAAGACTACAGAAATCCACTATTTCTGATCTAGGAAGTCATGGACATGCAGGAAAATCACTTCCAGCATGCAGATCAAACAAAATGTTATCACTCTACAGTGATGTTAGGAATTAAATGTTATTTTCTCAACCACAAAATGCTCACAGACAGACAAGGCCATGGTGTTAAGAGTATCCCTTATTCACTGACTCAGCATTCCTCCATACTTTACTGATGGAATGATATTGCGTACGGAAGCATCACGTGACCATACGCTGACACAAATATATGCCAGTATAGTATCATTCCTAATATCATTATATCCAGCTATAGCAGCAAAAATGGAAAGAACTGCACTCAAAACAGTGAATTCCCAGGTCAAATATAGTGAATGACATTATGCTTTGTGCAGGGATACATTGAAAAGAGAGAAAACTGAATTTCCCTTGAGTCAGCTGTGCCATTTCCACACAAGGTGCACATACTCCCTACCCTATGAGATGGCGAAAAGTTTTGACCTCTAACAGGCGAGCCGCAGGACCTCCTAGACATCACAGGGCTACGAGGGGGCTTACCAACAACCACAACATCACGCCTTAACACAGACTGAAAGAACCAGAGCCAGGAGAAGATGACATGAATGTTATGTGCAGTCATATATAAACAAAATTTACAAACACTGCTGTTCAAAAGAGTGGGGTCAGTACGTTATTTTTTAAAAAGAAACTAATTCTTTTATTCAGCAAGGGTGCATTAAATTGATCAAAAGTAAAAATGACAGTAAAGAGTTAAACATTGTTACAAAAAATTTGAACGTTAAATAAATGCTGTTCTTTTGAACTTTCTATTCACCAAAGTATCCTGAAAAAATGTATCAACGTAAAAAATGTATTAAAATGTAAAAAACGTTTTCGACATTGCAAATCAGCATATTAGAATGATTTCTGAAGGATCATGTGACACTGAAGACTAGAGTAATGATGCTGAAAATTCTGATGATCTAAAATTTTAAAATATATTAAAACAGAAAATTGCTCCTTTAAATTGTAATGATATTTTACAATATCACTGTTCTTACTGTTTCTGATCAAATAAAATATAGCCTTGGTGAACATACAGTAACAGAAAATCTTACCAAATCTGAATTTTGAATGGTAGGGTAATAATTGATACAAAAAAGGGTTAACATGAGGGAGTGAATATTCTTTATACGTTTTACTCATGGACAGAATTGTGCCTGTTTCTTTTTGGTCTAAATGTCTCATTATTTACCCAAGCATCCGTTGTGAGCGGTCTTTGTTTGTTCCCATGCCAGTGTACAGAACTAATAGGGCAAGGCCCATAAAGCTAATTTAAAGGATCCTAGGATTGTGGGTAGTGAATTTAAAAATGTTGGTTGGTGGGGGTTGGGTGATTTAAATATGTCTATGACTTACTAATAATTAATGACTCTAGCTCCCCGTATAACTGTAATAATTTACTGTATGTCAGACATATGAACTACATTGTTCCGTGTTTCATTTATGAAGCGTGCACACTGTGGTGCAATAAATCTCTCATGGAAATGCAGAGATGATGAACGTCAAGTTAACTTTAATAGGGAATGTTATGAAGTGGTAAGACTAGGGGGAAGGGTGGAGGAGGATGAGCGCTAGTACAGTCACTAACAAGCACCTTGTCTTTACCTTGACCTTTGGGGAGCGGAGGTCCTGTCGAGAGAACAGTTTTGCAGAGGGAGGGGGCGACTGTGAAACCCCGGGCAGTGGAGGGGTGGAGCGTGGGGAAGGGGGAGAGTATTTAGCCGATGAGGGCAGTGTGAACAGCAATGACATCTGTGAGGACAGGGGAGAGAGACGTGGAGAGGCATTCTGGGAAACTTCACCCTGCTGGTGTGGAGATGAAAACAGTTATTCATGCCAAAGACATATGTTCATCATCCTCTACAGATGCTTCAGAATTTAAAGGTGAAGTGTGTAATTTTTTGTGCCGTTAACTTCACCAAACAGAATTGCAAAAATTAGTGATGCATTGGAATTTTGGAAACTGAAAATATTCACAGTCAAAATGCAGCATCAACCCGCATTTGTTTCAGTCAAAATGAAAATTCATTTTCAGCTGAGGTGGACGATAGTGCTGGATTGGCAATATTGATTTCTCCTTTTTAACCAATCTCCATTTTGATGAGCCAAGATCTTTTTAGTCTACGCTGTTTTCTTTTTGTTGATGATGACTAAACAAAACTTCACTAAACATTATTTGTAGTGCACCCACCAACCAATATTCACAATAAGATTCTGAGTGGAAAGACATAAATAAAGAAGCTTCAAAACAATGTCACATAACATTACATTTACCCCAGGAAAGCCATTCAATGTCAATAGCTTGTTAGTAAGCCAGAAAGAAATAACTCTAGAGAGGCGCATTTAGGCTAAATATATGCACAATATTATATATTCATTTTACTTTTACTTAACCTGTTGTCTTTATTTAATGAATAAATCTGTGATAAAAAAAAAAAAGAAACAAGTTTTTATTACAGCCACATCTGATAATAAATGTAATTAATTAATTGATTATTAAACTTTATTTTCAGTTTCATTTTTTGACTAAACTTTTAATTCTTTTAATTTTAATTTTGAGCAAAAATGACCAATGAAAATAAAAACCTAAGTACTTTGCCCATTTTCTATAGTTTGCTCCAAAAATACGGAATTTAATATTTCGTAATATAAAACAATTACACACTTCTCCTGTAAGGAAATCTATTTTGGCTGTTAATTTGGGCAGTACAACCACACAATGAGCACTACCTCAATATCTGACCCCTCACTATGGGCAGGTTGGACTGGAGTAAATGTATTTGATGTCAATGGTTCATTTAAGAAGCTGCTGTCTTCATTCGGCTCCTCCTCTATAAACAGACTGGGAAGCTTTTTTGTTATATCTGGTTCCTGGCGATAAAATCCCTCCTCTTCTTTGAACGTGCCCTTTGATTGGCTGGCCTTAATAATTGACACCAACTCCTCACACAGATCATCCTCGTTGTCTTTAGGTGGAAGGATGTCCAATGGGGATTCGTGTGCCTCAAAAACAGCCAAGTCAATAGGGCTGCACAGTTTAGCGGGGCCTGTCTCGCCTGGTTTGTGGAGGTCTTTGCGATCTGAGAACAACTGCAGTTCTTTCTCGGCTAAATCTGCTTTTTGGTTGGAGAGGATCTCTATGACACTGCTAGACCTGGGGCTAGAGTCAAATATGGGTGAGGTGGGCGAAGGAGTGAAGGAGGCGGAGGTGAGGTAAGGTTGAGGTGATGGGCTCGGATCGGGGGACATGTAGGACTTTGGGGAGGTGATGGGAATGAAGTGACCCTCTTTGAGCGCAGGAGTGAGGGCTGGAGAGCGGCCCAGCATGGAGGAGGCAGGAGAAGGGGAGATGGCAAAATCCAATACTTCATAGTATGGCTGGAAATTGGAAGGGAAGGGAGGAGGTGTGGGGGCAGGGGTTCCTGAAGGAGACAGACCCAGAGTGAGGGTCAACCACTCGCTGGTGATAGCCTGAAGGTGTGCGGCTCTTTGTGAACTGGGAGAGGATGAGGAGAGTGGACGGACAGATGGGGATGAAGAGTTGTAGAGGGTACAAGCAGAGGATGGCTTAAGAGAGGAAGAAATAGAAAGTGATAGTGTTTATATACACTGGAAATTAAGAGAACTGATGGAAAAGATAATAAAAGTGACAGGAGGATAGATGAAAAAAGCATTCTGCAGAGTTACAAGAAAATCCCACCTAGAAAACCATGGTACAAAAACAACACTTTTTATTCAGTAAATCTTGACTAATTCCAGATGATTTAAGCAGTTTATAGCTACAGTGTGGGGTTTGGATTCTGTTATGCGTAGATTAATTACTATTTGGATGTATACAGAATCCCAACCATCATGTAAATAAGACTTCTTTATTTTCAGTTTCATTTTTTGACTAAACTTTTAATTCTTTTCATTTTAATTT